GCAGGGAGCCCTATGCGGGACTCGATCCCGGGACTCCAGGATCATGACCTGAGCCGAAGGCAGTCGCTTAACCGACTGAGCCACCCAGGCGCCCCTTCCATATTCTGATAGAAGGAAAATGAACAAGGACACCACTGCCCAGGTGTCAGGTAATAAATCCTGCTCTCTGGCACTGTCTGTCCTACCTAGCCACTGACACTGACTTGGGCCACATTTCTTTAATCGATTTTCCAAGAAAAATCAATTGAGGAAAGCAACATAAGAATCACTGGAAAATAGTTGTAAGATGCATCTAATTAAGTCACACGTTTTTAAGAGGACAAGGGGCACTTCAAGGCTGCTGGCCACAGAACCAAGCTGCTGAGAACCTAGATGATTTCTGAAAGCACCCTGAGGCCCCTTGTGGTGCTGGCTTATGGGCTGCATCTTTCAGAGTCAGGAGCATGGGACACATTTACTCATGTAGAGATTCTCAACAGGCAGCCTGTGGAAACAGACTCAGAATCTCTATTTTATAGACGTGTCTTTGATTATTTTACCAAAGCGTCTTAAGATGGGATTATAGGAAGTATGGTCAAATGAACTCTGTGATGCTCTCTTCTTAATAAAACCATTCCACATTTAAACTGCTCCTAGGACCCCCACTCCTAAACTGTTAGCTTCTTGAGGAGTCATGACTGATTAATCTTGGTAGTACATAACCCCAGTACATAAAACAGGAAGTGCCTTGGGCATGATAGGTTCTACACCAGAAATTTGTTGAATGAATGACAAAACCCCTGGAGCCTTAAGTCAACCACTTTGCACTTACATATAATGTGTTTTTAAATTCTTAACAGTGGCACAAAATAATTCTACTTGATTAGATGTTAACTTTTTGCTAAGCAATCTCCTCAAAGAGAAAATGAGTCACTAACCACAATTCATCTTTGAAGAGCATTAATGTAGTTAACATATAATTGCAAGAGTACCCAGCATTTTAACATACATTATTTCATTTATAAATACTTTTTTTTTCTTCAAAAGCCTAATTGCCTCCTCGTGGAGGGAAAAACCTCAACAAACAGGAAACACCTGTCCATTTACCTCAACCCCCAACAATCTTGAGTTGTACCAAGAAGTTCCACAAATGCTCCCCAGTCCTATCTCAGTAGACCCGCAGTTCCCTGAGGCAAAGCCCTTTGCAGGTGTGTGTTCAAGCCTCCAACTAAGTTAGCTGTCACAAAAGCAACATCGTTCCATTTGGGTTGTCAGCACATGAGGGGATGTTTGTTCTTACCACAGAAGATGATAAAAGCATATAATGAAATTATCAGTGCATTACCTATTTCAATATCGCTGTCAATATTCAGTGTCTCATTACAAGGAAACATGGTCCCTTTCTTGTAATGCTGCTTACAGACTTTTAAGCCAATTGTATTGTCTTCATTTTCTCCGTAACCAAGGGTCCCCAGGGATATGTTCTTTAGATGATGATACTGTTAAAAATAGTTAAAAAAAAATATATTAGCTTTTAAGAGTTTCATCAGAAGTTACAGCATATGGAATACACTTTTAGCTATTTTAAATTGTTTATATGAGATCCCTCACTAGAACCCCCCTGTGTAAAATACCACAAGGTAATTTTCTCATGGTTGGGCAGGAAATACACAGCCTCACAGAACTCAGAGCTAAAGTAAACCTGCTGACAGATGCTCCCACCTCGCTGACTGCCAAAGCCGAGGTGCTCTGACCTCACAGCAGACTTCTGTCCCCCTGGCTCCAAGCCCCACCTTCCCAAGCCACACGGGCCTCCAGGAGGTTCCTGGAGCTTGCCAGGCACATTCCTGCCTGGGCCTTTGCTGTTCCCCCTGCCTGGAACCCCGTGTTATCTATCTGCTAGGTTCACTCCTTCAGATCTTGAGTCAAAAATTACCTCTTCAGTGAGGCCTTCCCTTACCATTCGGTGCAAGTTGCAAACATCCATCCCCAGCACACAGGCTCCACCAGGCACTGGCAATCTCCTCCCCTGCTTTATTTCACAGCATCTATCACTTTCTGACACACCACTGAAGACCCAAGCCATCCATACCCCACAGCTCACATTAACACAACTGGCCTTTGCTTACATGAACTTAAAGCAGCTCTCATCACATGACTTTACCATTCGCCTATCTGCACTGAGAGGGTTAAGAGGGCTTTACTAGCTCCCACCTTCATGACTTTATTATTCCAGGAAACTTTTTTTGGCGGGGGTGGAATCTTAAGCAGGGCCCATTTCTGAGTCCCATCACAGAGCCCATCTGGGGCTGGATCTCAGGACCCTAAGATGAGATCATGACCTGAGCAGAAATCAAGAGTTGGACACCTAACCGACTGAGCCACGCAGACTCCCCTATTCCAGAAAACTTTTGCTCAGAAACGTAAGTTACAAATAACTCTATTGTTCATTTCAGGAACATCTAAAATGACTCATTTAGACAGATAATCAATTTGAAGATTTAGTTTAATAAATCCAAGACTCTTTGAAACCATGCCCCTCTCCCCAAAAACCCTCACCTTCTTGTGTCCACCAATACAAAACTATTACATCATCATATCTTTACCCAATTCTAACTGAGCTCCCCTCACACTGAAAGACCCACCCTACATCAGTCTTCAAAATCCGAATTTGGACTTTGCCCTCTTTACCCAAGGCACTAATGAGAATGATCAAGGGAGCATCTCCCTTACCTCTGTAAGCAATAAGCTCAGTTTTGCTTATCAACATGTTTTCTTGGTGGTGTTTTCAGGGAGCTAGCATTCAGTGCTATACATTTCACTTCTTTTCATTTGTCTGGTTCTCTCCTCTACAATGAAGTTCTATAAGACAGGGCTTTTGTCCATTTTATTCATGATGCATTCTCAGTGTCTAGAACAGTACCTCGTATATTGTAGGCACCCAAATATTTATTGAATAAATGAGAAAAGAAAAAATAAGAATAACGATTTCTCTCCCCCTAAATGCTTTCTTCAGGCCTATCAATCTGGTTTCTCAATACCTGCTTAGATACAACTATATCATATCCTACTCTATATTCTCAAGATTCAGCTAGGCTTATTAATGCTAAGACATCAAAGTTGAGACTCTTGAGTCTTAGATTTGGTATCTCATTTACCAAAACTTCTGAGATTATAAATCCACTCCTGGCAATTTGAACTTGGGTAAAGTAATCTCCCAAAAGTAGTGGGTGTAAAGGGATAAATAAAAAAATACAAATCTTTAAGAAAAAACTTAAATAAGCAAAATCTATCATGTGGAAATGTAGCTAGACAAATAGCAATGAACATTTTTTGGCACACTATGCAAAATTTAAATTAAGATATTTTAATTCATGTATAATTTTGTTTTTGCTAAAACAACAAAGTATCAACATATTCTCCAAGTGTAGGTCATTCACAACAAAACACTTGCCTGATTGATAGCAAAAAAGATGCTCTCATAGGCATCCTCCTGAGTATACAAACTGCAACTATAGTCATCTTCATCCGTGCCAGAATATCCTTTTAAAAACAAATGCTTAAAAGCAACAGTGTTCTCTTCTTTGAAAGCAACCACCATCTGGTTACTTAAACCAAAACGAACAAGCTAGAAAAGAAAATCAAATAGGAAGATGTGAATTTTCCATTTACCAGGGCAGGCAAATGCATTCTTATTATCATCAAACCGACACCCCCCCCCCTACAAACTTCAGCAAGTGTTTACTAACCTAATGTCAAAATACAAGTCCCAAAAAAGAATAGCCTCATCAAACTACATCAGCAAGTCAAAATAGCATAAAATTAGGGTAAATTATCACTCCCAGTGACTACCAACCTTCCTGGTCTTTAATGAAGGAGAAAAAGGAGAAATCCAAATCAGTGAAGTTGGAATTCATTTTTTGTATAGTTGGATTTCAAATTAATTGTTTTAAAAATTGATGTACTCAATAAAGTAGTAAGTCATTTTTTGTTGATTTAACATTTAGAAATTGTAACTATTTTTAAAAATCACAGCTATGCTTTATATATAGCTTTTAAGAATATTTTTGAAAAGTGGATTATATGATACTTACTCCAGCTAAGAGGTAAGAGTTGTCAAAGAAATTCAGTGATTCCAGCTCTGCAAGAACTCTTATCTAAGATTTACACCTAGGAGTTCCCACTCTAAGATCAATAGCATCAAAGCACCAGAAAGAAGAACAGGGCTTGCTTTACCCCTCTGAGTTCAAACCATTCACTGGCAGCAAGCACCCATTTTCTTGCAATAAAACTCCTACTTATTCTTCCTTACACTGTATCCTAGTCCAAGCTTAGGCACCAAGAGCTCTTTTTACCAGGAGGGAATGTATTCTTCCTGCCCATCTTGGAATCCAATAAGTGGGGAAAATTAGCAGGCACTAAATGTGTACCCAAAAACCCCAGGAAATTATACACACAACAACAATCTCTCTCTCTCTCTGTGTCTCTCTCACACACACACACGCACGCAATGGCAGAAGACAAGTCAGACCTTTATAAGCTCTGTCCCACACACCCTTCCCCATCTACCTATTTTATCTCCTCATCTGCTTCATAAGACAATAAAAGTCCAAAAATTGTGCCCTAAATCTTCATCCCACTAAGTCTCCAAAGCAATTTGGGATTCTGTTTCTTCATGTGTGAAATCAGCAAGTCCGACTAGATGACGGTGGCATTTCTGCTATGTGCTGTCACTCCACGGTTGGATATGAGAGACTGCATGGCACTGAACCAGACCTCAACTAATAAACCTTTCAGATAAACACACGGTAATCTGCATATGCAAATGTATATACTATTTTTTAGCTTTTAAGTTTTTGTCTGACTTTTTGAAAAGGCTGAATAATTAAAAATACTAGCTACCATTTTCAGCAACTATTATACTCCAGGTGCTTACTGAACTGCATTACAAGCACTATCTCCGTTACTAACACAACAACTCTAAGGTGACGTCACTATGGTTAAAGCATGTGGAAACTGAGATGTAGCCCCATTAAATTGCCCTAAGTCCTGTAACTAGAATGAAAGTCAGGTCTAACTCCAAAGTCACTCTATTGTGCTATACAATTTACCTCTGTTGAAGAATCTGCCTTTGGGACTCTTCTTATAGAAAAGAATTTAAGGGCTAGCTTTTGAGAATTGCCACTACTGTTTGAGAACGTACTTAGTTGACACTCTTTAGCATCTGAGCCTCACCAGGTCACATTCCTCAAATACCAAGTCAAAGGATTGAGCAATTGTTAAAACCCAGCTAGTCTAAGGAAAATATCAGATAAGAAACCCCACATCCTCCAACCTGTGCTAGAAATCAAGCAACTGGAAGCTAAAGGTTTTTCCAAGCACACAACATCTGTCAATGGTAGCTGTAGGAGATGCCAGAAAAGGTCATGTTGCTTTTTGAAAGCGAAAAGTAAACCAGGGAACCAATACACACATGATTGTTTCAAGGTTTTATTAAATACTGACACACAAATGAAAAAAAAAAAAAAAACAACTGGTATACACGCACATGAATTAAGTTTTCAGTCAAAGTTTGCTGAGTGCTTATTCTGTCCTGAGTTGGGATATGATGTGGGCAAGATCAAGTTGCATGGTGTTGAATAACAGCTCTTATCTACTGAGTATCAGGGACCATGCCTAAAATTTACAATCTTTAAAAAATTTAATTTGCCAAACCCCTATGAGGGCGATATTACACTGCGCTCCACAAGGACAGGCTTTTCCCCCCCTGCTCAGGAACTGGAATAGTGCCCATCACAATGCCAGGGTCAAATACTGAATCCGTTGATGAATAGAATCCCATTTTATACACGTGCAACTGAAGTCAGGGAACTTATTCAGGTTGGAACAGCTAGAAAGTGTCAGAGTGAGGTCTGTTAGGCTTACATATCCCTTCTCTTGACCACCTGGCCACACTACCTCTCAAACAGAGATGTTGCCAACTTAATTCTAGAAGCAGGGATATTTGACCCATTCCTCCCACAGTCAGACTTGAGCTAAAAACAAAACAAAACAAAACAAAAAAACACACCAAAAAAATCTGAATGGGGAATGGATAACTTGACCAAGAAAGTGACATACTATTTGCTGATATTTTAAGCTACCACCTTATTTAAACTCAAAGCTCATCAACCCAACTTTGGGAATGAGAGAACATGAAGGTGTAATCTCTGCTTAGAACCACCCCCATCTGGCATCAGGAACAAGAAATGTCCTCCATTCCATTATTCCTAGAATAAGCTAAGACCCACTTATATGGCCCAGCATCAGGTCAGGGTTGGGATTTTCAAAGCATCTGTTAATAGAGAAGAGAAACCCTCAGGAGGAGATCATAAGTCCCCTTCCTGCTATGGCAGAACCAAATATTCCCTATGGAGCAAGAGTAAGATGATGGATTTGGTCAAATGGTTGACAGAAAAATGCACTCTTGCCCCACTAACTGGATCTTAAGATTTGCCGAGACTATGATATTAGACAGAAAAATAGTTACACATTAAGTGCAGCCTGGCAAAGATTGTGAAGGTAAGACTGATTATGAAATCAGTGTAGGAGAAAATATTCTGTACCAGATAAAAACAAGATACTGCTCTAATAATATACAAAAAATATGGGAAGGAACAAGTAGAACTGGCAAAAAAATGTGGACACCTCTCTCAAAATTATAAATTACTGCAGAATGCAGAGTAGGAATGTCTTTTTTTTAAAAAAGTTTCCTCCCCATCAACCCTGATAAAATACCACCCATCCCAATAGACTTGAGGATGGAGTGCTAAGAGACAGAAAAAGAGGAGGAGGGACAAGTGGGATCTGAAAGAAGGAAAGGTATTCGAGAAATCTGCGCCAATTAGATATCACCCCTGTAGCAAAACTTATTAGAATGGTCCTCCAGCAGGACAAGAGTTTAATCCCTCCCAACACTGTTAGGGAAGACAAGGTATACCCACACAAAAAGTAAATTATCTTTTCCCAGAAGTAGTCTATTAAAAGCAAAAGCAGCGAGATAGATAGCAACAGGTACTAGTGTCCCCAGGAAAACCATGTGGTGAGTGGTCAGGCAAGACCGGTGGGGGACTTCCAAGGGCACCTGCAAGATGATGGAGAAAAAGAATCACTCTGGACTTCGTGGAGCAAACAGGGCAGGGATGAGAATCCCCGGGTGCATCCAGCTGGCTGGGATTGGGGAAGAAATAGATGAAAACCCATTGGAAAGGCAAGTTGAAGGAGACTGTGGAAATCTGAATTTCAAGCTCCATAATCAAGATTTTCTTCTGTGGGAAAATGGGGACCACAAAAGTTTCTGAGCAGGAGAGTGACCCAATTAAGGCATTCTAAGAAAAATTCATTTGATATTAGCATTGAATGCACTGGTGTGGGTGTGGATAAGGAAGGTAGGCATAAGACAAAGTCTGGAAGCAGCCTCATCAACTTGTCTGTATTCCTAGACTGCAAACTGAGGACAGCACCCACGTTTGGAAAAAAACCAATCTGAAGGTAAGAGTGCAGACTCCAGAGCCAGACTGCAGGGCTCCAATCCGACTCTACCACTTACCAACTGAATGGCCATAAGCAAATTACTTATTCTCTTTGGCTCCATTTCCTCATCCACAAGAAGGGAGCAATAACTGACCCCGCCTCCCAGGGTTGCCGTGAGGATGAAATGAATGAACATGCAGAGAGCACCTGTGCCTGGCACATGGCGAATGCTATGCCACGTGTTAGGTTACCTCTCAGCAGCAGTGACCTATTCCCAGCTGTATTCCCAGCAAGACACACAGCATGGGAGGTGCTTCATACATATCTTAAATTAATGAGATAAGAGTCTGTCCTAGAAAGAGAAGATAGTGAGTATGGCAAAGCATAAGTAGACACAGTTTTAAGGAAGAATCCATGAGATTTACTAGACATCAGGACAAAGAAGTTAAGTCAAAGATCGGGATGTTCTATACCTAGATGAGGTGGAGTTTTAGTAACATTAACAGATCAAGAAGCTGAACTGAAAGTTGGTTTGTCCAGAGAAGAAATTGGGAAACAATTAAAATTAACCAAATGAGAAAGGGGACATTATTTCTCCTCCTTCCAAGTAATACCAGTAATGTACCTACTTCATAGGATGCCAAAATTAAAACTTCAAAACCAAGAATTAAAATGAAAAGATTTTTAAACGGAAAAAGCCAAGCATTCACATTTAACGGGATCCCTGTATCTCAACTTTGTTGGATTTTTTTCAACTTTGTTGTTTCTTTTAAAGCAGCTTGGTTACCCTAAAACTTGGTGGAGTGGAAAGCATGACATACAATGAAAAGACCTCTTTATGATCACAGAATAAAGATGCAACTTCAGTTACAACAGGAACCTTCTCTCATTTCTAAAACTATACGAAGGTATTTTTAGAAAGGTATTCATTTTTATGTTCCAGAAAGAACATCTTTACATTGATAACAGGATGATGATTTGCCAAAGGAGCCAAACACCCCAAATTGTTAGTGTTTTTAGAAGGGCACACATTTCAAATGTGGTTACCTAGAAAGGAGCCTCCCTGAAACAGGTTCCAAACCACAGTTTCAAAAATTAGATGACAACTCTGATGGCTGGTGTGATCCTGAGAGTAAAGTCTCAACGATATGAAATTCAACAGAAGATCCCAATGTAGCCCTCCTATGCTCCTGATAGGCCCAAGAGTAAGCATTTACCAGCTTAGCTACTGATGGGAAGGGAAACAGAATTCTGTCAAGTCTCAAGTCAAAACAGTCAAAAATGCGATTTCAAAAGTGTATTTGAAAGAAGATGAGAAATTTCAAGAACACCCTCACTTGGGATTGAGCAGGTTTCACCAGTCTGTGTGCTTCATTCAGATATAGAACTCCACCCCACCCCACCCCATATCGATCTGCTATTATATAGACCTACTATTCATCTCTATTTACAGAACCTGTGGGAAGATGGCCTCAGAAGCCCTTACTAAAACAAGGTCATCATCGAAACTGAACTTCAACCTATCATCTGCCCTCCAGAGTCAACATAATTTTATAGTTTTATGAACTTGACTGTGGACTTTTCAGAACAAAAAAGTCAAGGGCAGAACACATGAAAACAATTTCATCTTGGGATAAGGTAAAAAAAAAATTGATAATATGAATTACCTGTGTGGTGACCATGACTATCTTCAAAATCTGCAATCCCAACTTCCATGGAATCTGGTGTCTGGCTCGGTATTTTTCACAAGGGTTCATGAAGTAAAACTTCAGGTCTTCCCTCAGACATTCTTCTTTCACCTCAGAATCAAGATGAGCCATTGCATTTCTGCCACAGAAGACCAATTTTTAAAAAAAGAGAACATCTTGTTCATCAGAAAGTTTCTGAGGGGCACGTGGGTGGCTCAATGAGTTAAGCGTCTGACTCTTGGTTTTAGTTCAGGTCATGATCTCAGGATCATGAGATCAAGCCCTGTGTTGGGCTGCATGCTCAGCGTGTAGTCTGCTTGAGATTCTCTCTCTCCCCCCATGCCCCTCCCCCCCACACACTTGTTCTCTCTCTCAAATATTTTTTAAAAAAGAAAGTTTCTGAATAATATTTTCTGTTCATGTTCTTTACCCATTCTTACAAGCAAAATTCTCCGTTCAACCAGTGACCTCCTCTTCTCTTTAGAAATCCGAAAATTATTCAGGACCCTCTATCACTTGCCTTTCCACACAGTTATCCATCTTGTGCAAAATGGCCATTGTCAAAATTTATAAGAACAGGATTTTATTTGCAAGAGTCATCAATTCCTATATCTTAACATGAAGCATTCACCTGTCACTGGAATATTAACAAAAACTAGATTGGATGGGTATGACATCACAGAAATTAAGTACTGACTAATGGAATTAAATTGCTATGAAAATAGAGAATCTTTGTTCTATAACATCGTACTGAATGATTATGCCCTTTTTTTGATAATATAGCAATGAAATAAGGTTCAAAAATGTAAATACCTTTAAAAAGTTAAAATAGTATCTAATTATGCCTATTCAGATATTTGTGTCACTTTACACTAGAAAAGTTTGCTTTTACTATTTTGACAGCTCTGTACTCAGGAATGGGCATGTGACTCAAGCTAGGCCAAAAAGAACTAATGAGCTGTGGTCCCAAGACTGTGATTATATCTGATGGGAGAGATGTCCACTAAGCTGTCTCCAAATTGGGGTATGCAAAACAATCCACTGGCAGTACAGAAAGTATTAGTACTTCTATTTTATTCTTTATCTTTTTTAGAAATTAATTCTATACTTTAATTTTTTATTTTAAGTAAACTCTATGACCAACAAGGCGCTGAACTCACCACCCCGAGATCAAGGGTCATAGCTCTACTGACTGAGCCAGCCAGGTGCCCCTATTTTCTTCTTTATCTTAAAACAAAAGAAACCTGAACTCTACTAATAACTAAAGTAACATATAGAATAACACTGGTATATAATCACATATAATTTATAAGTAAATATACACACATTGAGAACATGTGCTTAACTTTTATCACTGGATACATAATCAACAAAGTTTGGAGATCATAGACTTAAAGCAAAGGCTGTGAGTCTGGAGTTTGTGGAAGTCACCTTGCCATCATAAAAGAGCATGCCAGAGAGTGGAGCTAGCACAGAACAGACAAAAGATAGACACTAAGCCTAATGATAATACTTGAGTTCCTGGATCCAGCTGTGCCTGAAGCCATTCATCCCAAGACCTGCAATGTAAGCTAATAAATACTCTTTAGGGCTTACGGTAGTTTGAGTTAGTTTTGTGCTTCATACAACAGGAAGTGTCTTGATGGTAAATTTAAGGATTAAATTTTACTAAGTTCAGCCAATCATTCAAGGTACCCATTTCTAGGGAAGTTTTTATAATTGGGGGTCATTTGGGGACAACTCTTCACCTGAAATATCTAAATGACCTATTTTTATACTGACTTCAGATCTACATTATCTACCTCAACTAACAAGTTTTAAAGAAGACTAAAGCGGAGGGTGCCTGGCTGACTCATCAGTAGAGCATGTGACACTTGATCTCAGAGTCGTGAGTTCAAGCCGCATGTTGGGTGTAGAGCCTATATAAATAAATAAATAAATAAACAAACAAACAAACAAACAAACAAACACACAAACAAAAAGAAGACTAAAAGGGAAAGAGTATTTTAAGGCTTATTTTAAGACTATTTAAGACTTACACTCAGTTAATAATTTTCTATCTTTAAATTGATTTTTAGATCTCCTATTTCCAGAATTAGTAGGCTAGGTTATTTAGAATTTTCCTGCTGGGTAGAAGAAAGGAAGGGAAGGAGGGAGGGAGGGAGGAAGGGAGGGATGGAGGGAGGGAGGGAGGGAGGAAGGAAGGAAGGAAGGGGAAAAGGGAAAGGAAAGAGAAAGGAAAGGGGAGGAAGAGGGAGGTTAGAAAGGGAAGAAAGGAAAAGAAAAAGAAAAGAGAAAAGACAGATGCTGGATAAAATGCATACTTCTTTTGGGGGGGTAGGTGGAGGAAGTACCTGTAAAAGACTGAGGAGTTAAACGTAGACCAATAAGTCCTAGAGCTCTAATGCACAATACAGTGAATATAGACAATAATGTTGTATTATAAACATCAAACTTGCCAAGAGACTAGATCTTAATTATTCCCACTGCAAAAAGGAAATGATAATTCTGTGAGGTGACAGAGGAGCTAACTATTGCTACAGTGGCCATCATATTACAATATATAAATGTATCAAATCAAAATGTTGTACACCTTAAATTTGTACAATGTTATACATCAAATATATTTCAATTAAAAAATAATAATAATAAAGGTATTTCTAAGAACACTTAAAAATTTAAGAGCAAGGAACTCCCAGTCTAGTCTTGGGGGGATCCTGGAGAAGTGGGGGCCCACTGCCATTCATGCCCACTTAGGCTTCAGTCCACGGCCCCAGGAAAGGGGAATGAGGGAGCCAGGACTCAAGGCCCAAAGCCCATCCAAGATCTGACAGGAGATCCTCCTCAAATTTAGACGGGGGTCCCAAAGAGCCACCCTCTCAGAAAAGTACCTAGCATCACAACGGCCTGTCCCCAAAGTTAAAGGACTATGGAGAAGGCCAGAGTAGTTTCAAATCAAAGAAAAGAAAAAGGAAATTTAAAAAAATAGGCTCATCCTGAGAAATGATGCCCACAACACAGCCCTTTGAGCCTCACACCTGGATGAGCCAGAGAACATCAAACCATGAGCTTGCTCGGTTCAGGGGGCTCCAGACTGAGACTGCCCTGTCTCCTAGCAAACTCAGACCTCTCCAGAGGTTCATCCTAAGACTTGGCCACTCTGACATATGACTTGAAAAACTCATTGATCGGCAGGTTGTAAGATATAACCAAGCAACATGAAGAGTCTACTTGGAAACAGGGAGCAGAAACAGTGCCAAGTCCATAAGAATCAGACACGGGTTGGAAGATGATCATGTTTGGCATATTGAAAGACAAGAACAGGTAAAAATATCTATAAGACCAATTTGGGAAAAACAAAAAATACTTGTAGAAATGAAAAATCAATGACCACATGAGTCTCAATCTCAAAAGAATGAGGAGACCTTTAAAATGTGTTTGTCTGCATCCACTCTAGTCAGCTTTGGATTGGATCGGACCGCCTTACTGAGACTGAGCTGGGTGCTTGGGACTCAATGCTGGAGAGCGTCCCTGACTGCAGATGCTCGGCATCTGATAGCAGAGAGACCCGTGAATGCATATTCCCAAATTACCACATAGCTCAGTGAATGCTGTACGCTAGTGTGAAAAGCACTGTGGAAACAGGCCTAACTCTGACAGAGGGGTTCACAGAGCCAGAGGGGAAATCCCATCAGAACACACAGGGGGTGTGTGTCATGGCGGCCCCCGACAAGGAGCACAGGGGGAGGCATTTCCCAGAACAACGCGGTATCTTAACTGTGCCTGACTGCAACATCCTCCGACATGAGCCTTCAGACCCCTGAGAACATGCCAGAAGAAATCTTCGTGGGCATGTTTGAGCAGTACTAAATTTAGAGTTAACCACCATCACTTTAGTGGATCTGTGTTGCTAATGTAGTCATCCTGATGAGTCACGGTATTTTTTCCATTTAATAAAAGGAAAAAGGCATCTGAAAAGTTGTGATAGAACCCTCAGAACATGGCATGGAAATTCCTGCCTTGGTCTCTAATGTGAGAAACACCATACTGAAGAAAGAAGAGATGGTTTTCTCAAAAACAGTGGTGTGAAACACAGGGCACTAGGTCAAATACTTAGTGAACGCCTTGTGAGCCCAGCTCCACCAGAGACATCTTCCTGTCTTCCAGCTCAGTGCAGTGGGAAGGAGAGTTATGAATACGTGAAAGTACAATAAAACATGTTCTGTGTTGTAACTGAAATACGCATTGAGCACCCCAGGCCCAGAGAAGACAGTGCCCCAGCTGCTTCAAGTGGCTTCAAATAATTCTTTCAGCTGCTGGTTTCTTTGACTACTTGGCCACTAAATGTTCAAAAATGGTAACTGATGTTAACATTACCCTAAGAAACCTTATTAAGAAGATAATCCACAAGGACGCCTGGGTGGCTCAGTCGTTAAGCATCTGCCTTCGGCTCAGGTCATGATCCTAGGGTCCTGGAATTGAGCCCCGCATCAGGCTTCTTGCTCAGCAGAGAGGCTGCTTCTCCCTCTCCCTCTGCCTGCCTGCTGCTCCCCCTGCTTGTGCTCTCTCTGTGTGTCAAATAAATAAATAACATCTTAAAAAAAAAAAAAAAGGTAATTCACACACACACACATACACAAAGTGAGAGAGAACAAACATCAGCATTTATGGTGTTAAATTATTTACAGAGCTCTGTCCATCCGGAAGTTTTTCACTTACAGAGCAGTTGTATTAATTCTAGCACGGTGAAGGATGAAAAGAAAAATGGAAAAGACAGCATGAAAAACTTTCCCCTCAAGCATACAGGAACCACCTGGTGAAGTAAAGGATAGTACTAGTCAAATGTAATCAATAGAAATACAGAAAAAAATTAATATGAATAATAAAGTTATGAGATGGCTGTTTTTAGTAAGTCCAACTTAAGTTTAGAAATAACATCTGGGGGCGCCCGGGTAGCTCAGTTGGTTGAGTGTTCGGACTCAATTTTGGCTCCATTCATGATCTCAGGGTTGTGAGATGGAGCCCGGAGTGGGCTCTGTGCTCAGCGGGGAGTCTGCTTGAGATTCTCTCTCCCTCTCCCTCTGCCCCTCCCCAAAGTAAATAAATAAATCTTTACCAAAAAAAATAACACCTAAGTTT